TTGTTCACTCCTTATATATATACTTCTGCTGAATCAACCGACCCATTATAGTGCAGAAGGTATTGCTCTGCTCGATTGAGGAGGTTGTACAAATCTCTGAAATTCACTCATGGACGTGGTAAATACACTCGTAGAGCCATCACCGAAGCAACTGTTACTGAAGTGAGGTATGTATGGTTGAGCTACTTGCTTCGTCATGGTCTCAAGTTTGAACGATACAGTATAGGTAGGAATTGAATTTGTTCCATAACATTAAAGTTACAAATTCAGTTTGTACCATGAAGGGTTTTTTCTTTTTGTAAATGGAAGCACCAATGCTTATGATCATAGTAGCGGAGCTCCTTTTTGTTTGTGTTTTATGAAAATGGCATGGATTTCTTGGAAACATTGAAATGAATTCTGAGTTTATTCAGTCCTTCAAGTTTATAGGCCTCTTTTTTCTGGAAGAAAACAGGTTTCTGCATGTGGTACTTTATTGTGCCGAAAGAGCATGGAGTCATGCAATGGAGAAACGACAGCTCCCAGATGGCCCCAATGCACGACAGAGAATCTATTTGATTGGCAGGCTGAGAAAGGCAGTGAAATGGGCTAATCAGTTTTCCCGACTATGTGCTGTCAAGGGAGATTCCAGGACATCTTTAGAGGCCGAGGTTTGTGTCTTCTGTTAATATGAGTTGTGCAATTTTCTGAGTTTGCAAGTTTGTTCATGGACACAGTGTGCCCTTTTAAGATACAATTCTTTCTCCTCTCATTTCAAAGTACTCATAGTTGGAATTCAATTTTAACCATCTGTCATGTTACCTGGGACCAGCATTCTTGGTTCTTGTAACCTGTGACTGTCTGAGCTCTATTAATTTTTCTCTTTCATCCCCATCTCTTACTTTGCAGGCCTATGCATCCTATATGAATGGGACTTTACTGTTTGAACAAGACCGGAATTGGGACACTGCACTGAAGAATTTCTTAAGTGCCAGGTTCACAGATATTACGTTGTTCAGCTGACTTGCGCTTCCTAGTGGTTGTGCTCAAGTACAAGGCTTAATTTCGGTCTGTTAATTTGTTGTAGAGCTGTTTATGAAGAGCTGGGGAAATACGGAGATTTGGAGAATCAAGTCCTGTGCCGTGAGCGTTTGGAGGAGCTGGAACCTAGCATCCGGTACTGCCGCCATAAAATTGGGGAGTCGAATCTGAAAACCTCCGATCTCTTGCAAATTGGCGAGGTGGAAGGCCCTGCCCTGGACCTCTTCAAGGCGAAGCTAGAGGTGGGAATTCGGAATATTAGTAATGAACTGCTTAATCATGCTTGATGTGCTGCTTGTTATCTGTTATCAAAATAAAGACTGGTTAAGTTCTGCTTTTCTGTCTCAATAGAATAATATTGATGATTATTTACAATCAGCAAAGTTGGAAAGCACGTGAACCTCACTGTATGCTTCATTCTGAAATCAATGCAAATAAAAAACATAGATATAATGCACATGGAGGAAGGAACAACCGTTTTGTGAGTGAAAATGTACATTTATTTCTTTCTAAATGCAATTTCCCAAACAAGTAGCTTACTTTAATAGTCATAAAATAATTCGTCTCTATGTCTGTAATTAGTCAAATGATTGAGCGATCTGCTATATATGATTAAGCATAATGCATATATTTTACTGGACTCCTATTCCAGCATGTATGTCATGAGCCAATACATTTTAGTTTATTTCTCCTAATTTTGGCGGGGCAGAAATATTCTATGCTCGGTTATTGGGTGTGTTTGCCTTCTCGGTAATAGGAACTGGGTATTTATGATTCTTAATGTTTTCCAGTCATTGCATACTTCTTTTATTGATACTCTCCTCGCTTGCAGGCTGCTATGGCTGAGGCAAGGTCTCAACAGGCAGCATCCTTGACTGAATTTCAATGGCTTGGGCACAAATATCCTATACCTAATGCAAAAACTCGAGTTGCCATTCTAAAAGGTTGTCAATGGCTTCAACTATTACTGATTTATTGAATTACACTGTTTGTTAGTATGATTCATTATGATCCTATGTCTTGATTCTCCTCTAATGTTGACCATAACTCCAATGTCCATTGGCGTAAGGCTGTACTCTTATCTTTTCTGTCTTTCTCTAAGTCTCTGATTTTGTTGACTGAAATAGGCCAGTGCATCTCCTTAAGTTGGGTAAGCTATAGCACTTTGCTTCTGTCTGGAGCTAATGGTTATTGATGTAGATGTGCCGGTTAAATAAAGTTCACTAGTATTCAGGCTGAGCTGTTGATTGGAATTGATGCCCTGTTGGATTCGGCTCCTGGAATTTTCTTCATGAAACATGGATTCATAGTTTATATCTATAATTAGTGGGTCGAACTTACTGGGTCATGTGTCCTTTATGGTGTGATATGGCAGCACTCTTCCATTATTTAGTATATTGCAGTGCGGTCCAGGCCTCAAGAATTTCCTTTTCGCCTGTTTTTATGATATTTCAGCTCAAGAGCTGGAGAAAGATTTGCATGGTCAGGATGCAAATGCACTTCCAGCTGAAAAAAAGCTAGCAGTCTTCGACAAAATTTTTACTGCATACCATGAGGCTAGGGGCTATATCCGGAGTGACTTGGTATGAGATTTTAGATTTTTGCCACATTCTGAAACAATTCCTGGTTTATTTTATCATTGACACCATTTTGCTGGTATTTCAGAAAGCGTGATTTGTTACACTGTCTGATTCATTATCATTTCTATTCTTTCTTCATACTCATTCCTAACCTACTGAATTTGCAGACTAGTGCAGGAAATGCTGAGCGTGTGAAAGATGACTTGAGTGGCCTTCATGATGCTGTCACAGCTGTATTAGGACTGAGAACAACAGAGCGTGACCGTCTTTTGGTTACTATTGCTAAGAGTAAGCTTGCCAAGCGCCGTGATGACAAAAATGAGAAAGTTACCAAGCCAGAAGAGCTTGTTCGCCTTTATGATCTGTTATTAGAGGTGAAAACATATCCCTTTATTTCTGTTTCGGTTTACCCAGCGGGTTGGGTTGGGTTTGAGTTTTTCAAACCCATCGGGTTTTACCCCGGGTTTTTTTGGCGGATAAACCCATGGGTTTGGGTTTGGGTTTGACAAAACCCGCCCCAACCCGACCCATTGCCATCCCTAGTGGTAGGCAACAGACTCTTTTCAGTTAAGAGGTGACTAACTTTTTCCATAACTTGGCTAACAGAATACACTTGCTCTTTCCGAGTTGGTGAGCTCACGGAAAGAGAGAACAGCTGAGGAAGTTGCATTTGCTGAAGAATGTGAACGCAGACGTTTAGCTTTCCGTGCTGAAAGGTCTGAAATGGGTTATTGTCGACTCATTTACAGTTGTCTGTGGGAATCATATTTGCAAGTACATGTATGCATTAATTTTTCCATGTCATGGCTGCTATACTGTAAGGCTGTCTCTTTCAGTCTATATTCGCCTCTCCTGCAATGTTCTTCCTTACACAAATGTCGGAAGGTTGTTTGGTTGAATATCCTTGTTACGATGTCTCCTCTTCTTTTTTTGCTTTAATGATGTCTTATGCTTTTCTGCCTGTTGTATATTCTTCACTTTTCTGTGGAATTCTTGTTAAAGCTGCTAGTTGTGGTTCTTGTGTTTCTCATCCCGTTCATTTTTACTTATCTTTGCTTTATGTGCTTGGCAACTTCTCTGCAGATGTTTCTTCTTGGCAAAGTCTTACAGCATAGCTGGTAAAAGAGCAGAAGCGTATGCTCTGTTCTCCCATGCCCAGTCCCTTGCAGAGAAGGCCTTGAAGAATTATCAAGATCTGAATGAGAAAGATGAGGTACTTTGCTTTTGGGTAAATCCGAAAAGGGAAACCCAAGCTTTAGCTATTCTCTATGTTGCTCAGCTTTTAGTTGATCGTCTCTTACTCTACCTTCCTGGCATTGTGCGTTAACCTTTTTGGCTTCAATTTCTTTTGGATGTTTTTTTGTGTGACAGGTGATGATGAAGGAGCTGAAGGGTTTATACAGTGAGTGCAGATCCAGTAGTTGCATAGAGCATGCCCTAGGGATTATGGAGGAAGAGAAGGTTCCAGAAAATCTCTCAACTAGAGTCTCTGCTTTATCATTGAGCGGGACTACCAACTTGGTAACTAACTTCTGCTTTGCCATCTTATTGTCCACCATTATACTGTCGCATTTGGACAACTGTTGACAGTGACGATGGAATGAATGCTTGTTATTTGCAGAAGTTCCTTGTTCAGAATCTTGACGCCTATGAGTCTGCTCTTGCTGATCCAAATGTGAAGCCAGCTCAGCATCCACGCATCGAAGCCTTCCCTCCACCTTTCCAATCCATAGCTAGAAATCCAATCATTCGAGATCTTGCTTATGAATACATTGATTTCCCATCCCTAGAGACCAGGATGAAAAAGAAAGGTCTCATTAGTAGGTGGTGGGGAAAATGAGCTATGCCAACTTGCTATTATAACCAAAGGTAGGGAAAGAATGAGCTTGCAAAGGATTGTAGAAGTTGAGGAGTTCCGCATTTTGCGCTTTGGGGTTTTCTGTTACAAATTTTTGGGATACCTGCAATTTTGGCATAAAGGGATTTGGATAAATTGGTAAACAAGGTCAATGTGTTAACTTTTCCTTATAACAATGCTCTCCATCTTTCCTCATCGATTCACAGGGACTCGTGAATGTCAAGTTTATAATCAACGTTTTGCAAGGTTATTTACTGCCCTGTTGAGCAACATTAATTGACAGTTAGCCAACCATGTCAAGTAACCAGAACTACAGTGTTACTGCTGCAATTGACTTCAATTTGATTACATTTCAATCAACTCCCATCCCTACTAAATGAAAGCAAACATAATAACCAAATCCTGTCTTTAGCAACTGACTACACCGACGTTGGACTCTGATCATATTCAAAACTATTACTTCTATGGTAAAATAACTACTCCACCAACGCACTAACACTATCCCTCCATCGATCTGACATTAGCAACTACAACACTGAAGATCAGTTACCAATTGTAAGAGGCAAGGCATTTGGTTCCAGGTGCCAGGAGTCCTCTGGTATCCCATAACGTTTGATCCCCGGAACCCTAAATGCAGGAATGCGATGAGAAAAGCAAAGCATATTTGCATTTGGAACTACATGAACCATATCGAATCCATCTTGCTTCAGCTTGCAGAACAATGTCAAGCAACCTTCTACCTCCCTCAGCCTACTCACAGTGATCCCATTACTCGCGTCTTCAGCACTTGACTCGACTCGAACGATCATACATCGACTCCTTTCATAGTCCGACGCTCCCCATCTCGCACTCCAATCTTTGTGCATTGCCCATACCTCCCCTTCCCGTGGGCATATCTTGTAGCACGACATGGTCGGCTGGTACCTAACACGAAACCAGAACCGCCACAGATCAATCCTGCAAGCCCTTTCGCTGATCCTGAATATCCCACATGAAACCGGGAGTTTCTCCCTCAATGCTTTCACCTCATGGTCGCGAACACCCGCAGGCTCCAAGTATGTAACAGCTGCTTGTGATTCTGATATCATCTCATCAAACCGAACATAATGGCGAGGCATAGAAGAGTAGCTTATCGTTTCCCCAAACACAGCCCATATCTGACCAGCTGTGAGATCCCTTGAAGACCAAGCAGCCTTTGCAGACAAAGTAGGCATAGAGACGGCAATGCTAGCAGAAAACATCTCACAATCGGCCAAGCTTTTCTTTCTTCTGTGGTCGAATTCGGTGCGGCGATTTACATCTGTGAGCACCAACAGCGCATTTTCCAAAAGCTTGAAAGCTCTCCTCGCGAACGCCTGAGCTTTTCCAATGGGTTGGAGCAAGCTGACGAGCTTCTGGTAGCGAGATCGAGTTTCGACGAAACTACAAGAGGGCTCAACTCCGAGAACCCAATAATGGTCCACTCCGCACCCGGGGATCTCGTCATTGGCTGCCAACAAGATATCGCAAGCAGTTTTCAAGGGCTCCAAGTCCTCGATGGCGGGGAAAAGCTGGCTTGCTCTGCGTAAATGCTCCTTCGCCTTTCTGTAGTCGTCGCCAACCATCATAATCTCTTCTGCTTTCCGTTTCTCCGTCATAGCAGCTAGCTTGTTTTGGTTCATCTCTTCTCCTAGTCGATTCTGTAAGTTTGTGGATAGATGGATGTTCCAAGGTTCGTAGACTATGCCGCGACTGGGTCCTGAAGAATGGACGGTCAACGTCGACCGCCGCGACAAGGAAGTGAAGAGCGGAGCGCCACCGTCGACCGCTGCAAAAGGTAAGTGAAACGGAAGAGGAAAGGAAACGGTTTGGATTGGGGGCACAACGGAGCAGATAGGGTGTGTGCAGCGTCAGATTAGGGATAACAATGTGTCGGGTTTTGCAAAAACCCAAACCCAAATTCACAAGTTTATGAGCCAAAAAAATTCGGGGTAATTGGGTTTGGAAAATTTAAACCCAACCCAACCTGCTAAGTATACAAGGGTTCATGGGTACGCTTTTTTTTTGCAGTAAAAAAATTATAATAACAAGTTTCTATCAAAATAAAATTTAAACATTAATTTTTCTCATAAAAATTATCCTTACATAAAACACCAATCTAAAAAATTCAAACAAATCACAATTACATTAAATAAAAGCACACAATTTTTTGTTTTTCGTTCATTTGTTTGGGGAGAGTAGGGAGGCGACAAGTGAGTCGTGAGAGTTAGATTGGCGAAAATTAGAATTAGGGTAGTGTTTGGGGAGAATAGGGCGATGGAATAAGTGTGGGTGGGTATATCCCTAAATCCAAACCCAACCCAACCTGGTGAACTGTGTACCGGCTTAAACCCAAACCCGGTTTGAAACCCGTCAACATGGGGTTTACCCGCGTTGACCAGATTGGGCCGGGTAGTGTACCATAGAGCATAGTAGTCAAAATCCCGATTTAAATCCTAAAATTCTACGCTTTTACGATTTTACTTACCTATTCCGATTCTAATTTCACTATAAAATCTATGGACACTAAAATCCTACACTATTTACGATTTAAATCTTTAAAATCTTTAAATTTTACGATTCAAATCTTTGAGTCAATTTTACTCATTTTCCTTAGAATTTGCAAAATTACGCCTCTTTTTCTTCTCCTCCACCAACATCATCTAGTTCTCTCACACTAACCACCATCGACTATAATCAATTCACATCAACGTATTAATCATCATCGATTCACCACCTCTTTACAGTAACCTTGATAAATTGGAACATGAACCTTGAAAATTATCATTGTAAGTGTTATGTGCTTTTGTGTTATTCATGATTTTCCTTACTAATAGTATTCCGTCTTCATTTTTATATGGACCTTAAAATCCTACGATTTTGATTTTACCCCCATTTTCGATTTTACGTAAAATCTCGATTTTGACTGCTTTGCCCGTGACTTCGGATTTTGTTGCCATCCCTAATCAGATTTGATCCTTTATTCATTTTAAGTGGACTCCAGATGGTTTATGTCCTATCTTTATCAGGGTGGAGTATTGCGGCTTGCCAGCAGTCTGTGAATCTTGTGGGGGGGGGGGGGGGGGGGTTTGGACACGATTGTGCACTTCCTCCTGGTTCTCAGTTGAAAAGGGTGTGGCAAAAGAAGGTACTGAAGACTGTTGATATTGGGCTAGTTAATCCAGCTAGTGTGGAGCCAGTCCAAGAGTGCCCAAAGGACATCGGAAAGGCTGTGATGATTGCCACTACTCCACCAGTCACTCGAAATGCGCCCCCTTCTCAGGAAGAGTTCAATAAGGTGGTTAATGGCGTACGTAGTCACAAAAAATCCATGTTGTAGCTTCTGTGGTTTTGCAGTCGAATGCATTTGCTGCTCTGTGCTCATCCAGTTGAGTTGTGAGGCTTCAAGATCCTCCTTATAAGGGTGTCGTGAAGGTCTAAGGAGTAAAACAAAAGCCGCGAAGGCAGTTCCTAAACGAAAATTACTATTATCATATGGAATACAAGGGGTTTCAATGACCCCTTGAAGCAGGATGTTGTGCTGAGGTATGTTCGTTGTCATAAAATTCAAGTTTTAGCTTTGATTGAAACAAGAGTACAACAAAAAAAAAATGCACAGAAAATTAAAGATAAGTTTGTTGGTTTTACCTTCGAAGACAATTATGTTAAGAATAAAGGCCTATTCAAACTCGTCTTCTATTGGCCGAGGTCAACCTATGATGTTTCTGAGGTTGACCTATGACCGCAAAAATACGAGTTTTGCCATTCTTCTACGAATTATTTGTGCGAAATTAACTGAAGTCGACCTGTTGTGATTTTGAGGTCGACCTAATCTATTTCGCACTCAACATTTAAGCATTTGGGCCAATTCAGACACGTTTTCTATTTGCCGAGGTCGACCTATGATGTTTCTATGGTCGACCTATGACAGCAAAAATACGAGGTTTGCCATTCTTCTACGAATTCTTTGTGCAAAACTAGCTGCGGTCGACCTGATCTGTTTCACACTCAACATTTTAAGCTTTTGGGCCTATTCAGACACGTTTTCTATTTGCCGAGGTTGACCTATGATGTTTCTGAGGTCGACCTATGACCGCAAAAATATGACTGGCATGTACGAGTACATGGGCCAGATTTTCAGCCAGATGACTGGCATGTACGAGTGTACGACTACATGGGGCAAATGACCGCCCAAATGAGCACAATGCAGTTGACCGTGAATGATGTAACACCCCGATATTTGGGTGTAGGTTCGACCAAACGATTGGATCGACGATTACGTACGAAGCATGAAAATCATAAATTTGAAATAATAATAATAACAATAACATTAATAACTAATGTTATTATTGTTATTATCTCAATCCTAATAATAACCATCCTCCTCTGCACGTTACCCCAGCAACAACAAAAAGGATGGACAAAAAAAAAAAAGAAACTCAAACACCATTACACTCTTACGCTCCCATCTAATTAAACGCCACCAAATTAATCTCCATTTCCTAACGTACCAATCTCTCTCCCCACTCCTCTATAATTAACAAAAACGTTGGCGGTAGAAAAGGAATTCACCCGACCCCATATCTCTCGTCCTCTCTGCCCTAGCAAAACAAAAGCTGCAATAATCGACCAATAGCGACCCATCCATCTACCTTGGCAACCATTTCTTTTTCAATTTGTAGCAGTAGCAGCAAGAAGCCTAGAGACAGCATCAAGAGAGCTGCCCCCATCGACGACAGCGTGTCCTCTGGCATTTTAGAGATAAGGTCCCCGATCTCCCATGTCCCAAGTTCGAACCTTAAACTCCCTTTAACCCAACGAACGCACACGAAGATCGTAGCTCCGACAGCAGCCTCGGCGTAGTCGATCTCAACAAAGCTTCGAAACCTTGGTACCATCGTGGGGAGGGGGATTTCAGGAACATCCCGGTTTTGGCGGAATTGAATTTCAACATCGGACGAGGAAGATACGAGCCTCAAAAGCTTGGGGCGTGAACCGGATAGTTCAGGTACTAATCTGTCTATTCGAAAAGCATAAGGATTGTGGCGATAATTTTGTTTCCTAGAAAATGTCCAATTTAGTCCCTCATGTTTTTGGTTCGAGCAGCTTAGTCCCTAGTATTTTGAAAGATAACAATGGGCCGAAAATAGTATTTTCTCAAGGTTATTATTATTTGTCCATGTACTGTACGAACTTTTATGAGTTGTTAATTTTATAAGCTAGGGGATATTCGTGGGATGTATGAATATAAATTTGAGAATTTTTGGAGCTTTATTTATAAGTGTAAAAAATAGGTAAAAAGGAAGTTTTAACCAAATAGAATATTATTCAAGCGAGTATATTGGATTTAATAATTTTAATAGAATTCAAATACCCATGAGTTTATCCATAATTCATTTGGGTGTTTTTAGAGTCAATTTTTGTAATTATGAAAATTGGTAAGATGTCAATTTTAATTGATTAAATTACAGTTTGCATATCTTTAATTAATTTATTAATTTTTTTTTAAAAAAATAGAATACTGGTAGTTTGTTTTAAAGTTAAGATCGGGAATTTTAGATGTTGTTAATGTAGATATAAAATATATTTAGGTTGCAAGTCAATAGGAAGAAGGGGTTAATTACTATGTAAATTATAGTTAATAATTTTAGTTTATGTTATGAATTATCCAAAGTCAGAATTTGGAGTTTTTAAGATGGAAAGGGTTTGTTGGAAATTTAGGAGATTTATTTAATGGATTTTTATGTTATTGGTAATAGGTTAAGCCTTGTCAATTTGGGGAAAGATTTCCAGTGTTTGAGAAAAATTAATTCAAGTGATTAAGGGTCTTTTTAAGGAATTTTGGGACTAAGCTGGGAGGACGAAAAAAAATCTAAGGAATACCGACTAAGAGTAATTAATCTCAATTGATAGGATTAAGGAAGCGATCAAGTTAACGATCTCCGCGTCCAACGAATTAAAGTATCGACACTTGAGAGGTGAGTGTAAAGGGGGTAAATTCTACGCCTTACGGTATTTCAGCTTTGAGGTTGACCGCTATGTGCTATATATGCCTTTGTGTGTTTGTTTGATGCATGTGATTGCGTGTGATTTATGCTTCCAGTTATACATATGATAATGTGTGTTATATTTATAAATAAGTTGAAGTTTAAGAACACGCTTTCTTTTTAGAAGTACTTCACCTTCAAGAAGGTGAAACCGTTTTAAGAGTTTTAGTCACTAGCGCCAGTCCGTTGCCATTTGAGATTTTGAGATAGAGCAGCAGTTATGCTCTTAAGACTTTTAAGATGGGCAGCAGTTATGCTCTTCAGATATTTTAAGATGAGCAGCAGTTATGCTCTTGATAATCGTGGAAGAAGAGCCTTCCACGATAAGTTTAAGTTTCAGGAAAGCCTAGATGGCTTCTCATACGTATGAGTTGGCAACCGGACTAGCTAGTGAGGGATCCCAGTGTCAGTCAAACATTTAAGTTGAGATTTGAGCTTTAAGTATAAATTTTTAAAGAGTAGAAGTATCATCCACCAGTTTAAGCTAAGTTATCAAGTAAGAAATACTAGGGTTTTCAAACGTAAGGGCGTAGACTGACCCCAAACTCACTCACCAGATCGTAGAGGAAATCCTAACCAGCCAGTTCGTGATCAGC